GCCAAAGAGATATTTGCCCTTCTGTGCTTATTATAGTACTGTTCAGAAGATCTGGAACTACAAGTCAAGATATGGAACCAGAGGCTGGAGAGATGGGTCAGAGGTTAAGAGAGCTTCCCACTCTTCCAGAAGACCTGAGTTTTGATCTCAGCACTGACATCAGGTGGTTCATAATTACCTGTAATGCCAGCTCCACAGGATCTGACACTCTCTTCTGGCCTCCACAGTCACCTGCACTCACATGCATATACTCTCCATAATTAAAAAATAAAAAAAATCTTTAAAAAGGATTTATGCATCCAGCTTGATATACATCAGCAGATTAATGAATATAGTATAATAGAAAATTATTCCATCTTTAAAAGAAAGAAATCTTGCCATTTTCAACAGTGTGGCTAAACCAGGAGGGTAATTTATGTTAAATAAAATAAACTAGGTAGAGAAAAACAGACACTTTCAATATGGAATTGAAAGAACTGAACCCAGAAGCAGAGAATAGACCAGTGGTTGTCAGGGGAAAAAATGGGGAAACGGAGAGGTGTTAGTCAAAGGATACAGGATGCAAAATTACAGTTACAGATAAGGAATAAGCCAAGAGACTCAATGCAGGATTGAGGAGACAACTCAGTGGGAAAAGCCCTTGCCAGGCACTCCTGATGACCTGAGTTCCATCCTCAGAGCACACAGTGGAAGAGAGAACTGACTTCTGAAGTTGTCCTCTGATCTACACATGCATGCACACACATCACAGAAAATGTATTTAATTACAAAGTATCATATCCTTGAAAATTACTAAGAATAAATGTTGAGTCTTCTCACCACAAAAAAGCCTATGGGATGCAATGCATATGTCAATTACTTCACTTAGCTATTCTAAAACAGTACATATATCATCACACACATATAACATGTTGTATGCACACATTTAGTTTGTTTCTTTTTTTTTTTTTTTTTTTTTTGGTCTTTTTGAGACGGGGTCTCCCTATAGCCCCAGCTGGCCTAGAACTCACTATATAGACCAGGCTGGCTTTGAACTTACAGAGATGGGCCTGCCTCTGCCCCCAAGTGCTGGGATTAAAGGTGTGCGCCACCACACTCAGCTCGTGTATTTAATTTTTATGTCAATTAAAAATAAAGGAAAAAAGTTGCTAATAATTTCAGATATGAATCATGGACCTGCTAAGCACTACACATATGGAGTCATGCACTTAAAAGCAACGGCTTTGAGAGACTAGCTTAGTCAAATACACTTCTAAGTTTAAATGATTCCAGGAAGCAAAAGCCAATATGAGTTTTCACAGATTGAACATAAAGATGGGGAATGCCATCTTATCACCATCCATGGACAACCTCAAGCTCTGGGTCTTCCTGAAGGAGCTATGAGTAACGCTTCTCTCCAGGCACTCTATGGGCAGAAGGCAAGCATAGCTGCATTCAGACTGTTGAGAACAGTGATGGGACCAAACATCACCTGACACAAAGGGGAAGCAGCAAAAAAGTGGAGTCAAAAGAATTAGCCTTACAAGTAAAAGAAAACCTAATCAATATATCAAAGGCCCAAAAAAGTAGAAACATAAAAGTAAAGTTTTAAATACCTTTTTAAGTATAAGACCTAACTATAGGAAATAAGATAAATCATGACCAAATCAAAAGGCACATACACATACAATAAGACTTATGATCTATAATAGATTGCAATGTGTGGGCTGGTAAGATGGCTCAGTGGGTAAGGGGGCTTGCTGTCAAGCCTAATCGCCTGGGTTGATCCCTGAAATCCACATAGTGGAGAGAACTGATTCCTGTAAGTTGTCCTCTGACCTCCACACACGCAGCATGGCCTATGTGTACACATACACACAGACCACACACACATATTGAGACACACACACATATCATTAACTTTGTTAGTATGATGATGGCATTGTAGTTATATACAAACTTTTCTTAATTTTTAGAGAGCCACATTGAAATATCTAAGGAGTGAAATATTATTCTCTGTGATATCAATCTTAAAATATTTCAATAAACATAACGTTGGGACTGGAGAGATGGCTCAGCAGTTAGAGTACTGGCTGCTCTTGCAGAGGACCCAGGTTCGGTTCCCAGCACCTACATGGCAGCTAACAACTGCCTGTAACTACAGTTCCAGGGGATCTGACACCCTCTTCTGACCTCTGCAGGCATTGCACAGCACAGGTGCATTTGCATACATGCTGGGAATACACTGATAGACATAAAATATAAAATACTAAAAAATGTTGATGAGGCAAATCAAAAAATGTTAATAAGTGATGAGTACAGTATACTACTCTATTCTTTTAAATACTTGTTTTCTTTTTCTTAAATATTAAAAAGGGAAAATGAGCCTGATAAAATATCAATCCGTCTATAGAGTTGTAACAATTTAGTTGTCTGAGTTAAAACAGAAGGAAATTGCCAAGACTAGGCATGTCTCATGGTCACAGACGCCCGAGGAAGCCTTTCACATTGGGTTTGAGGGAAAAATTGTGAAATGTAGACAAAACTAGAATGCTCCTCAAAGTTTACTGACACACTCCCAAAACGGAACTGAGTCAAGAATGGCAGGAAGGGAAATGAGTGAAAGAGCTGCAGGCAGGCTGCCCAGGAGGTGGGCAGACCGAACTCTCTATCCATCACCTCTCCCGACCTAGACCCACAGCTGGAAATGAATGAGCTCCAGAGGCACCATCAAAAAGGAGGCAAATCTTCTTATTCTCCACTTAGGAGACAGCCATACAAAGTCTCTCTTACTATAATATGCGGTTACTCTTCCATAATCGTCACACTCAAGAACTAAGTGCCACGTGAAAGATGGTATCTCAGTTATCGCACATCTTAGATGCCCATGGAGGTCACTGTGGAAAGTCCTTTACAAAGAGAGAAATGGTTATAGAATGTGGATGTGATGTCATAATATCACATGGTAATTATTGCTGGAGGAATGAGTGGAAAGTGCAATAACTGGATGTGGTTTTAAAAAGTCTTCTAATTTTAAATCTTTAATTTTAAAGATTACTTCAAAAAGCAATCTGGCAAGTGGTTACTTTGGGGAGATTAGATATATTCACCTCTAAGAAATATGGAAATAGGTACTTGTGGCTGAGAACGCAATTTTTAGAAATAACCTCAAATAAGGATCAAAGGAGAGCCTGTATCAAAACCAGCTTGGATGGAGTGAAACTGACATGCTTTGCAAAATGCATTCGAGTGACTCAAAAAGTGGCTCGAGGATGAGCAGCTTTCCAGAGCTGGAGACGGACGAAAAGGGTTTGAATGAGCCTTGTTTTACAAAATACGAGAGGCACGTTGCTTTCAGAGAGAAGGTGCCAGTCCTTCTGAGGTAGTGTGACAAAGAGGGTGACAGGGCTGGGGACAAGCACCGTGAAGAAAGCGAGGCTGTAGGGTTAGGAAGGCACATAACAAACGTGTACCAAGTATTTGGAGAGCGGGTGTGTGGAAGACACAGTTGAGTTATTTTCTCTTTTTGAACAGCAGGAATTAAATGAACGAAATTATAGAGAGGCGTGTTTGTTCAAAATAAGCAAATACCTCCTAGCATTAGATCTGTCTAATATTGAACATGAAAAGTTGTAAGTAAAAGCTTTCTCATCAACTGTAAAGAAGTAAACCAGGTAAGTTGTCTTTATATCCTTTTAATGACCACATTATATTATTTCATTAAAATATGCACATGAGCTTAAATTGATGACTTTTTAAAGATA